GAAAACTAGGAAGAAGGGGCTCTGTGATCAGTGACAAAGACTAGAAATGTCAATCAAGATTTGGCAAAGAAGCACTCAACCACAGTGATACATAATGCTTTTTGGAAATAGACATTGTCACCTCTTTAATTTAATACGATCACACGATTTTCAAACCTTGAACAGTATGACTAAGAATCATGTGAGGTACAGCAGAGACTTCTCAGAAAACTAATTTACCAATCATGCACTGCAAATCCATTTAGCTGCTCTCTTCTTATACTGCTTTCTAGAAAACAAAATTTTTTTTCATCTTGGTCAGGCACATTCTCCTGAGAAGGCCCCCTCTGTAAATAGAATTATGCACCAATCTGGCAAATTCAGGGGGAGGATCCAAGGAAGTCTAGACACCCACCCCACCCCCTTATCTGACCTAAGTGCTTCTTCTACTTCTTATGTGACACTGAAATACTTGCAATGGCAGGATTGCATTTAAAAGTTAATCAATTATGTAGTATTTAAAATTTACTTGTCTAAAAATATTCTGTAGAGTAAAAAAACAAGAAATTCTGTCTCTTCTGTATCAGTGTTTGAACCTCCTATCAAATTAACATTCTTAGACCCCTGCCTGTAATGGTCAAACATAACTTCAGTGTATGGGGTGAACTGTTCCATTTAGAGATGGGTTTGCCACAAATTCAACAAAACAGCTTGAAGGAAATTCACAAGGAGCACCATCCAGTTCAAGTAACACCAATGAAGAGGGCTGTTGATTTGGTGAGAGCACACTGGCTGGTACGAATAAAGTCTCCTGAGGACCAACTACAGGCCAGTAGCGACCCAGGTTAAAGCCATTGACAAATGCCTGTCCTTTACTCCATCGTGGAAGCTGAAGAAATGTGTCAGATGCATTTCCCCTCGCGTTTGGTGGAATCTCTCCATGAAAAAATGATGGTGAAAAGTTATCAGTGGTGAAAGGGTCAAGAACATCGTTGAATTCATTTGGAAGGAGGGATGTCAAGTTTGAAACAACACTGGTCAAGTTTATTGGATAAATTTGCCAATTTGCTAATATATTTCCATTGATTGTTACATTTCCAACAATTCCTTTTGGATCACAAACGGAGGGCCCATAGTTAATTCTCCCTTCATTCTCAACAAGAATGTCAAGCTGCAAGAATTCTCCCATATGCAGGGTAACGTCAGTCTGGTTTGGATTACGGTACAAGGTAGCCTGACGAACCCTTCCCACGTAGACAATGGCCCTGTCACGGGGGACACTGGCAATGGTCAGGGTCACAGTTGATTGAGCAAAACCTTTTGGGATCTCTGTTCTGTAAAGAACAAACCCATAGTTTTGTTCAATCTGCTCCATGGTTAAAGGAAATGTTGAATTCACTGGGCCATATGGTGCTGCAAGCCTGGGCAAAAGATCAAGCAATGTTGACATTTGTGTCATCTGAACTTTGCCATATGCAAACTTTGTTGTATTAGCTGGGATAGGTATTACAGGAACTGCTTCATGCTTGGAAATTATTTCCCGTAAAATCATGAATTTTGGGGTGGTGTCACCAGCTTCTGTTAAGGGTGCATCATAGTCATAACTGGTGGGGTTAGGATGAAGAACTCCATCACTATATTGTGCACCATTCATAAAACCAAAATTGGTACCTCCTTCATACAAGTAAAAGTTTACAGATGCATTCATGGACAGGATTTTGTCCAGTGTGTTGGCGATTGGCATGGCTGCCCTCGTCTGGTGAGGTTCTCCCCAGTTATCTAACCAACCAGCATAGAACTCGGTGTTGACGAGGGGTCCCTTAGGAGAAAACTTGCGCATGACAGCAAAGGCACTTTCTGGGTCAGTTTCGGGCCCAAAGTCGACAGTTGCATAGAGGAACGATACTGTGCCACATTCTAAATAAGATTCCCCGTCACCATCAACGGTAAATAAAATAACATTTTTCCCTAAATAATTCCTGAATAATTGTGCCAGAAGCTCCATATAAGAGTGATCACAAGCTGGGAAGCTTCCATATTCGTTCTCCACTTGGATTGATATAATAGGGCCTCCGTTTTCGTACAAGAACGGTTTCAGTAGCGGCAAAAGAACTCCCAGCCAATTCTCTACAGCCATGATGTACTCTTTGCTTTCTGTAGACCTCAGTGATATCGATGTATTCTTCAACAGCCAAGCTGGAAAACCCCCGAACTCCCACTCGGCGCAAATGTAAGGACCAGCTCTTACTATAACAAGCAGTCCGAGCCTGTTTGCAAGCTCAATAAAACTTACAATATCTGCATCTCCATCAAAGTTGTACTTTCCCTGAACTGGTTCGTGAATATTCCAGGCAACGTATGTCTGAACAGCGTTTAAACCGCCTGCCTTCATTTTCATAAGTCGGTCTTTCCAGTAGAAACTCGGAACACGAAAGTAATGAAGGCTTCCGGAAATATAACGTAATGGCTGGCCATCTTTTAGGAAACAATCGTTTTCGTAGTCTATTACGAAAGAGCGAGATTCAGATCGTCCTAAGAGAGCAAACAACGGCAGAAAGATTGCCCAGATAAACGCCATGTTTGAGTGCCGAAGGTTTCACCCCATCACATGATCCTATCGAATTTCACGACGTGGGTAACCACATTGAACAGCCCAATCTCTTGTTTAAGATGTTATTTTAAGACTTAAAGCTTGATAGAAAGTCATGTATTGTGTCAAAATATGCCAACAAAGTAGTGAGGTAAATTTTTGTGGTTTACACAGCCCTCGCATCCACGTGACTGAAATCACCCTTAGCATGAAAGGAAAGAGGAAGACGGTGGGGGGTTGGCTGGGGATGGACAATCGTTTCAGTTGGTGCGCAGTTCCTTTAAGAGCATTTGCTTCTTTTCCAAAAAATGCACAAGTTGAATGGAAATTTGTCAGGTATTTCTGCTTGCAAGATTTTTCTAAGGAACGCCTGATTTTTAAAAGGAACTGTGGCACCCAATCAACTGTTAAAGCCGTAAGCCCTTGGAGTGACCAGCATCTAATTTCTCCTTACAATATCACCCCCAGAATCACAAATTTAGTCTGAATCACATATATTGAGAACAGAATGGAGAATATGCATACTGATTTTAAATGGTCAACCCTCTAACCCCTAAGAATGACTACATGTGGCATCTGATTTCTCCTTACAAAATCACCTTGAATCAAACATCATGGTCAGGAAAATTAAGATGATCATCAACTAAGGATGGTCTTCATTGTTGACAAATTCTCCTTGTCAGCACCGTAGGTAATGTACAGAACACAGTGTGGAGAATATGCATGCTTTTGTTAGGGTGTAAAGGTTTAAATAGCCACAAAAAGGTCCAGATGAACAAAACAAAAAGAAAATAATACATTTATGAACAAGGTACAAAAATTGCAGTGACAACAACATGCAAATTTATTGACCCTTTCAACTCAAGTATTGATCATTAACAGTGAAGCTAGCTGTTCTACTAACAGCTATGCTATAGACTCAAATGAATACAAATTAAATAACAGAAACTATGTTTTCATTGGTTTTCTGACATATCATAATTAACAATTATTCCACGAGCGTGCGTTGGATATGAGATGATAGATAGCCAATGAGGCGCGTAGTGCCGAGTTGGCTATAATCATCTCATATCCAACAAGCGAGAGAGGAATAACTGTTTTATTAAAAATGTCCCCAAGATATAT